TTGGAGAGGCTACAGGCTAGGCTGAGGGATGCTGCCCCCCCGCCCCACTCCTCCCCGCACGAATTTCGTGCACCGGGCCACTAGTATATATATATTTTTTGTTTGTGTTTTATTGATTTCAGAGAGGAAGAGAGAGGGAGAGATAGAAACATCAATGATGAAAATCATCAATCTACTGTCTTCTGGCCAGGAATCAAACTGGGACTTACTGGTTCATAGGTTGATGCTCAATCCCTGAGCCACACTGGCCGGGCCAGTTTATCTTTTTTAAAAATTGTATTTATTGACTTTAGAAAGAGAGGAAGGGGGAGAGAGAAACATCACGTTGTTGTTCCACTCATGGATTCATTCATTGGTTGTTTCTAGTAAGTGCGCTGATTGGGAATCAAACTTGCAACTTTGGGGTTTTGGGACAACACTCTAACCAACTGAGCTAACTGGCCAGGGCCTAATCCATTTATTTTTTCATTTCACTAAGTAAATTTGATTGTATCTATAAACATGCTACACAATATAATGTATTTAAACATTTTTTCCACTTCAGGAGACATACTCTACAAATTTTTTAAAAGTTATCTTGATTTTTAAAGTTTACATTTCCAGCTGCAAAAAAAAAAAAAAGAAAGAAATCACACAAGTATCTGATTTTTTAATTTATGCAAGTGAAATTCAGATAACTGATCTGGTCGGTGTGTTCAGTGGTAGTGTCAGACCTCACACCGAAGGGTCGCTGGTTAGACTTCTGGTCAAGGACACATACCTTGGTTGAGGGCTTGTTGCCCGTCCCTGGTCAAGGCACACACAGGAGGCAGCAACTGATGTCTCTCTCACATCGATGTTTCTCTCCCTCTCTCCCCCTTCTCTCCACCCTCCACCTCCCCATTCCTCTCTTCTACTCTCTTTAAAAATCAATGGAAAAAATATCCTTGGGTGAATATTAACAAGAACAAATTCAGATAACCAAGATAGTAGTCTTTAGAAACTAACAGTCTATAGCCCAATGCTGTAATAGCACCATGTATGCCAGATAATGGCATAAGGCTCTGATAGCAAGAACCAAACAAACCTTTCACCAAAAGTCATTAGCTTGTTTTAACTCAAAGCAAGATTATTACTCTTAATATTTTTATTTGGCAAGAAACATGTATAGCCCTGGCCAGTTTGGTTCAGTGGATAGAGCATTGGCCTGCAGACTGAAGGGTCCCAGGTTTGATTCCGGTCAAGGGCACATGCTCAGGTTGTGGGCTTGATCCCCCGGTTTGGGGGTGGGGGGGATGCAGGAGGCAGCTGATCAATGATTCTCATCATTGATGTTTCTATTTCTCTCTCCCTCTCCCTTCCTCTCTCTTATCAGTAAAAAAAAATATTTTTTTAAAAAGAAATGTGTAATTCTACAATGCCACAGGAGGAGAAATAAAGGAGCTCAAAACATTTTGGCCAGAAATGAATTGTGTGAAGGATGGGAGATGGGGAAGACAGAAGGCTGGGACAACAAGTTGGGGAAGACAGTTGTGGAATTCTTGCAGAACCATCATTTCACGGGAGAGTTGCCCTGGACAGTGTGGCTCACTCAGTGCACCAAAAGGCTGCCAGTTGATTCCAGGCTGGGGCACATGCCCAGGTTGCTTGCTCAATCCTCAGTGGGTGTGGGGGGTGCAGTTTCGCTCTCACATCTATGTTTCTCTCTTTCTCTCTCTCCCCCTCTCCCTTCCCTCTCCCTTTCTTTCTAAAACAAATAAAAAATAAAAAAAGAGTCCAACTCATTCTGTGATGTTCTAGAAGCCAAAACAAGGACTTAACCATTTGAAATCCACAGAAATTCCAGTTCAAATGCAGGTACTATTATCTGTCATAGGGAGTGCTCAGAATGGCATTTAACATAGAATTATGTTATCATTTGTATTTTAAATACACACACACACACACGTTTGGTGCTGGTTGAAGGAAGACTGCTACACATATATGAATACGTGTACAAAACCCTCTTAAAACAATACGTAGAGCCTTAACAATGGTTGCCACAGGAAGAGAGACAGGGATAGGATGGGGAATTACCCTGCTCACTTTTGTACTGCCTGTTTTCACATAATAAAATGAAAGGGAGAGGGGTGCCCTAGCAATTTTCCTGACACCGATGGTGCTTAAGCAGACAGTCAGGCAGTGCATAAGTGCTTTAAAAGGAATTCCTGCTTTGGGGAAGGACCTGATCATGGTACCACCCAGGTCCCTTCTAACTTAGAGCTGTGAAGGTAGAGACGGAAGAGCCAGGGAAAATGGGGGGGGGGGGGGGAGAG